TACAAATTTTATTAACTAGCCAAACTCGTGACCCGTTGGGTCACTACATAAATAAGTAATAGATGATACGGTATCATTAGCATTTAATAGTTATCTCCCTTGAAAAAAATACCCCCCCCATCCTGCCAGTGTGAGCTGAGACTTCCCCCCACCGCCTCAATATGAATTCATTCAATTGCGAATCACCCACATTTCATTTTTTTTAACTTCCTTGCAGTTAGTGCATTTTAGGGATACCTTAATTCAATGCCCCAGGGTACAATGTACCTTGAAAATTGCCCCCCACTATTAGTTCAGCGTGAATACACTCTCAATGTTATCATACAGTTCAAAATCACCTGTATTTTTTAAATTAGAATAAGAAATCAAATTGCAATTTTATAAAATAGATTGAAAATACAATTTGTTAATACATTCCCCCCAGTTTCATAAATGCAAAAGTGCACACACATGCACACACATATATATGAGGAGATATTGACAAGTTTATAGCCTTAACCACTTCTCAAAATATGACCAAACATCATAATTGTGTGTGTGTTTGTATATATATATATATATATCACACACACTTAGTTTCAAATAGATGAAGTGGTTGGAATAAAAAAATGGGGTAACTGCTGGAAAATTTCTGAATAGTAAATAAAAGGGGTTAGTGCAAAATCTGGTAATATAAACATAAATTAAGAGGTGGGAGGATATTTTCTGAATATTTAATAAAAGGAGTGTCTGGAATAAAGATACCAGGTAATTTTTATCCATAAAAGAATTGTTCCTGCATGTCTATTTGAAACTGAAATCTATCTCTATATAAGAGAGAATGGGAGTGAGAGATGTAGAAATTGAATGAAGAAAGAAAGAAGAGATAAATGGTATAAGAAAGAATTTAATAGATAAAAAAAAAAAAAAACACAGACAAAAACAAATACATAACAGATTTTGCCAAAAGATTCTAATAGGCCATCTGTTTCTTCTGCATTTGCATGGGTCTTTATGTATATTTGAGCACCCCTGCCTTAACCAATTCAAAAGTACCCATAGGCAAAGCACACTAAGTGATATCCATTCTCATTCTCTCAGACCTCTAGGTTAACAATTTAATCTGTAAATATATAAGTAAAAGATTGGGAAATTCTAATTAAAAGTTTATGTATGCTATCATACAGAAATTGAGGTGTCATAAAATTATGTTTACAGTCATAATTTCTGTGTTCACTTGATAATACCTCCTCACTTTCTTTCTTTCCATTTTTTTCTATATTTGGCTGTCTGTTTATATCCATGTTAATTTGAATAACATTATCTTTTATTTTTGTATTCATTTAAATTTCCAACCTGCAAGTAAGAAGATCATACAAGTTCTTCAACTAATCAATGCTTTACTGGTTGTCATTCTCTAGGAGCAGCAACTTACATTACCTACCCACCTGCTTATCAACAAGGCTCCTAAACTTGTACAAAATCATTCATCTATTTCTCCTCACTATTATCCACACACTTTTCATCTTCAACTGCTTGAAAAATCCCATCTCTCTGGACATATCCCCACCTTGTCTTATTTGATGTCCACTAATTATGTGTAGAGCCTGATCATACATTCATGCATAATTGACAAGTTTCACACAGATAAAGAGAAGTAATGCAGATATTGGTCCAATCTCTCAACTATATATATATATATATATATATATACTAACACATTACTGGTCGATCATTCTCACATATTGTGAAAAAGTCTGGGTGAAATTATACTGATGTAAAGAAGTGGTTTTTAAGGCTGCTAGCTGCCCATATGATAATCAGTCCATAAAAACGAACATAAAATTTACATCATAATCCACTTAAGGAGAGAATCTAATGGTTCTCCTAATGTATTAATGTGTGTATTCAGGTAATAATGTCCATCTATGTGTTAGCATAAATAGTCATTTCAATAAAATGTGTATACATGTACATAGACAATACATTATCTGTGTGATTGTGTATGACTACAAACATGATTCTATGGCCCATCAATTTCTGTAGGATTGACTATGATTTCTATATATTTTTATGTACTATAGATGAGTATTTTTATATCATAAAATAAATCACAAACTTTATGATGCTGTAAGTTTCTTTTAGTTTTTTTAATTACAAAATTTACTTTGACATTACATGCACACAAATCTAAAGATGTGTGTTCTAGTAAATTACAGTATGCTATGCATACAGACAAGTTTAAATGAGATTGTATGTGTCATTTTTTCATTTAGAGAGTGTGTGTATTATCCACATGTATGAACAATACATTGTTCAAATTGAATATACTCTAAATTTTATGAAATAAATATATTCAACATAGAATGTAAGTATTTTTTAAAGGATATTATAGTGTAGATTTTTAGCTAAGTATTTTGTCTACTGTTTATCATAAACCAAGTAGAATAGGGCTGAATTTTACATTTCTATTTTGAGGTCAGATTAAAATTAATCTTCTTTAAAATATACAGCATATACAAAAGCCCCTATTGTGTGTGTGTGTGTGTGTGTGTGTGTTTAAATAAAAACATGATAATACCGTTCACAATGTTGTGAGTTACTTGCTTTTGATCTATTGGAAATTAAAGGGCAAAAAACCCAAAGTCAAAGCAGCCATTAAGGTGTATAGAAGGCTGTCAACAGTCAGAATATATGGACAAATATTTTCTTTACTAATAACAAAAGGAGAACCCTACCCCAACTATGTTCACAATGTAAGAGAGGAGAGAAACTATAAAATAGAGGAGAGTAAGTGAGAGGTAGGGGGTATTTGGGATAGAAGGAAGGAAGGACACAAATTCAGAGTGTTAAAGACACAAAATGAGAGGTATTAGGACAGAGAGAAAAAGTGGAAAATTTGACAGAAATAGTACATGCATGAGAAAGAAAAAAAATTCTACTTTCAGAAAAAAAAAAAGAAAGGATAAAAAGAAGAGAGAGGGAGAAAGTCTATAGTCCGTTATAAAGAGAGGAAAATCAGTTTTTCATAAAAAATGGTGAGAGAGAAAACAGGAAGGCAATAATGGAAAGAAAAAAATCAAAAAGAAACATCGAAAGGGAGCTGTTATTGATAATACCATACAATGAAAGGGGAAGTAAAATTGAGGAATCCATACAGAGAGGAAAAGAATGAAAAGAGAGTTGAAATCTATCCCTGAGAGTAAATGGAAAAGTCTGCTTCAGACTTTATTTTATTGAATATGTGATCAGTCCAGTTGGTGAAAAATAAAAGGATATATGAAGAGAAGAAGGGAAGGTTCAACATATTGTGCTAAATAGGCAAGAAAGGGAGAAAGGCATAATGCCAAAAAGAAGCCCTTGGAACACTAGTGAGAAAAATGAATCAGTGATGTGGACAAAGACTAGAGTGGCCAGAGGAGAAGGCGTAGCCGTGTGTGTGTGTGTGGCGGGGGAGTGGTGAATGAGTGTCAGGGTGAATGACAACACTTACCATGTAAGCTGGTGAAAGATGAAATGAAAGCTAATGCTTTTACGTGCAAAAATAAATCATACAGTGTATCTTGTTAATAGTGAAAAAGATTGGTTGTCAAATAGTTCATTGAAAATGATCGTTGGGGAGAACAGGTAAGAGCCAGATAGATGAAGAGTTTGAGAAAAAAAAGATGAAGGGTTAGTAAAGAAAGTGAGAATAACAAATATAACAATGGTTTGAGAGAGAGAGAGAGAGAAAATTAAAAGAATAAATGATATGGAGACAGTAAATGAAAGCAAGAAAAGATACAGGGTTAAAAAAAAAAAATGGTTAAAATTTGATCTGTTTTGATGGTTTCTGTTTAAGATGAAGGCAAATAACAATAATACAGGGTTGTAAAGGAAAGATGGAAAAAAAAGGAGGCAAACGATAAGCCCAAGGTTATTTGGGTAAATTTCTTGGCACCAAACCTTTCAACTAAGCCTTGAGAAAAAGAAGAAAAAAAAAATATAGCTTTGACAGAGAAAAAAATAAGAAAAGATAAATAAAATTGTTTTAGAAAAGTCTGGAATCAACCAGACCAGGTGGCAGTTAAAAATGTAGTAAGACTTACAGCTGTCAAACTCCTTCTTGAACCACTGATGGGTTGATAAGTGATCTATTTAGAGGCTTTGCATTTAAAATGCAAAAAGAAAATATTTCACTGTATGAAGTTATAATGTGAGATAACAAGTACAAATAAAGAAAAAACTAAGAAATATGATCATAAAATTCAAGCACCATTCTACATCTAATTTATAATGAGTCAATCACTGATGAACTTTTTCAACTTTACTCTCATCTATTTTTCTTTCAACAAATCTAATGACATGCACTAAATGAGGGACTATTTTTATTCTTATTCAAATCTGCTTTTTGATCCAGGTAAAAATATCTATATCAGTTTGTAAGTATGCTACTGAATACAAGAAAAAATCCAATTAGAAACATCTTTTTAAAGTAATCTTATTTTATTGGCCAAACAGTATGTATTTTCTTTTAGTATGATCCTTAGCTGTGATCTTGAAGGAGTAAGAGATAATAGATTACTATTACTAGAATCGTATGACATCTGTACTCTCTACTAAGCATTAAAGTATTGTTACTTAGCATTTCTGCTAAGTAACTTCTGAGTGTAGTATCTGTTCACTTTCTTAAAAGTATTATACATTATCTAAACATAATGTGTATCCATATATATATGGATTTCTGTTCTTAATTATCCATATTCTCACTCTTTTGACTTCAACATCATATTTTTTAAAAATATACACAATTAAGTTAAAGTGAAGAGAGTCATTTCAATGTCTAGTGGAATTTTCTATAAAAATTACCAAGAAGTTAAAGAAAAGTAAAAATAAACAGACAAATAACAGAGTATTATTTTTGGTGGCAGGTAAACTTTTTCATAAATCTATTGATAAATCATTTATTGATTTTTTTATTTATTGATTATATACCATTGACATTTTGTAAGCATAAAAGTGAAATAAGGGAGATAACTTACCTTGCCATTTCCAAATCTACCCTGAGTTTCTACATCTGTTATAACATATAGTTCTCCTAGATTAATCTGTAAATATTCATATGTATCCTTAGTGATCACATTTTTTGGACACCAAGCTCCCCCATTCTTCTCTGTGCGAATTCTACAAAAAAGAAGAAAAAGAATTAATGGTAATATTTAGTATTTAATGAAACATTTTGGGGATTTCCATCATTTACAAAATATAAAAAAAAAAAAAAAAAAAAAAGAGTAAAAAAGATTTTATTATACCACAGAAATATTTATAAACCTATTTACCCGAGTTTGTACATATAGCAGATAAAGAAAAACAAAAATGAAATTGCAATAAATATATGAATAATAAATAATGATATATTTTATAAATAAACAAATAATTTTATTTATAAAATACAAACAGAATTCAATAGAATGTAAAAATTTTATCAATATAGTTTTAATCAAAAAAGTAGAAAAAAAGCTACAAATAAATGTAGAGCCAGAAAAATGATTAACCAAAAAGGTATTGACAACTTCAGCTATTATTACTGAATCCTGATGCTCTATTATTTCTCTTTGTTATCTAAATGCTGGTGTGCTAAGCAATAATTGATACAAAGAGAGGGGAAAAAAGGAACTCTGAAGACCTATTTCATTAATTTAATCCAATCACTACATCTCATTTTTCAAAGCTTAGCCCTCAATAAATCAAGTTTAGAAAATAGCATAAGGGCCTGCAAATCTGTTCTTGAATGCATATATATTCATGTAACAGTTTATGGCAAAACTCTTTCATCTTTACTTTGAAGTACTTAAGGCTGATTTTGTTGAAAACATCAATGTGTTACAGTTTATGTTCTATTTTATTGAGGGAATTCTTAATTGTATATTATATGCAGATGCATGCATGATTATGCATATGGATGAAAATAGATCATGTTGGTCTACATGGAGATATATATATATATATATATATATATATATATATATATGTATGTATGTATGTATGTATGTGTGTGTGTGTGTGTGTGTGTGTGTGTGTGTATGTATAATTTAAATAATGATAACATAATAATGCATCCCATAGCCCATTGGAAGATAGCTTGTGCACCATGTACTTCAACCATGGCAGCAGAGGCAGGCAACTCAGTAGCAAAGTAGCCATTTCTCTTTCATGCTGGTTTTGAATTCAGGATTATTCTTCTTCTAGACTGGTTCACCAAACAAGGTTAAAAGAGCCAAGTTTGCCTTACTATTTCAGCCATAGCTGAGGAGGGGCAATAGATGGATGCATGCCTTTACCAAGGCTATTAGTGTAAAGTAAATGCACATCAATATTTCTACCTCATGTTTTACTCATAGATAATAAGAAATTCTAATAAAGAAAGTAAAGAAGGAAATTACCCCATTTTATGCACACCCAACATATAAATTGTTAGTGATTTAGTATGAATCGTAGATATTCAAAATAAGGTTTTGTGTCAGCCAAAAATGAAGTTAACCATAGTCAGGGACATCGAGTCAATGTGAATGCTCCTTTCCTTAGCTGCATAGTATATGCTTCACCAGAGCTACATACAGTTTTGAATTCAGAGGGTTTTTTTTTTCATTCTTCTAGACCAATTGCTACTCAAGGTTATAGAACCCATTCTGTCTTGCTATTTACCCATAGCTTGGGGGGGGAAAGAGATGGCTTCATACCTTTCCCAAAGGTATTAGTACGTGAGTAAATGTAATGAATTCAACTGGAATTTGAACTTGGTTCTCCGATTCCTCAATTCGAGCTACAATACATTATTCTAGCATGTCAAAAGCCAAAGTCTAGTATATTAAATATTTTCTATTTAGATATAGCTAGTGTGGATGCAAAGTTTACTTAGTTTTGTATATAAAGTGATGGAATTAGTTTATCATGGTCAATATTATCAAATTCATAAAATATGATAAAAGTAAACATGGATAATGGCCCATGCAAAAATCAAGATGTCAATCAACCAGAAAGATATGGCCAACCAAATGACTGCTTTAAAATTTTAAAAGGAAACCAACCTCATTTTGCACACACACACACACACACACACACACACACACACACAGCTATCAAGTGCACCAAACTTTAGCAGTCATTAAAATACCTTTTTAGTAAGAGAATGCTAACCTACTCAACTACAAGCCAACTGCAGTGAGTTAATATACTGACAATTACAACAGCATTTTCAGCATCCGAGAACAAAATCTGCAGAAACACACAATGACTTGGTTCTCTGCAAACACATCTTCAGTATATGACTGCAAATCAGCAAGCTAATCAAGAAGAAATACTGAACAAATCTGGTTTTAAACCTTTGTGAATTGAATTCAACTTTAAACCAAGTCATGTTAGTTTCATAGTAATCATTTTTAGACTGGACCAATAATAAAAGCCTCTCTGCATGAGTAACTCTTAAAAATTCAAACTGCTGGAAAAAAAAATAACAAAAAAAACACTATATTCTTCTTTCACTAAATTATACATTTAAGAAAAAAAAATCCTTTATTAAATTTAACATTAATATGATGCTAGAGGCAACTTCAACTATCAGTTCCTTATTGTTCATATTATTTAGATAACTATTTTCTTAGAATAATTGTTCATTTCATGTGTCAACACAAATTTTTTAGGCAATTTGACCAGTCAAATGATTTCATCACTTAATTACCATCAAGTATATAACAACTAAAAATGGTAATCACAGTTGGACAGTTCTTCTATAATTGCATTTGAATGTATGCTATATGTATGTGTGTGTGCATGTGTCTGTATGAAGAACTTATACCAACACTGCAAATTCTCATTTATGCATGTTTTGAATGAAACAAAAAATGCAGGTTACATTTTTTTTTTTTGGTGTTGAAACAAATGCTTTACATTAGCAGTGGAAATATTCACCATACATCAACTATAGAACATTTATTTATGAATTTAAACATTTTGTTTGACACAAGAAAAACTGATTTAAAAAAATAGCTGCCATTCTTTATCTGTCTCATCCAGCAACAACTGCATACATACATACATATGTATGTATGTATGTATGTATGTGGCAGGCGTCAAGAGAGACAAAGAAATACTAACATACTTAAATATTTTACATTAAGAATCCCTCTTTAAAAATCTTTTAATGATTATGAAAGGCTACTGTGTCATCATAAAAAACTGATTGATAATTAAGGTCTCCATTCCACATGGCATTGCTAATAGTGTAACTAGAAATATATATGTATTCAGTAGTATATAAAGTCCTGTTCAAATGTACTTTGTGTCTGCTCTTTAAAAGTGATCATTAGTCTTGAATATTATTCTTGATTAATGTATAAAGCAGTGACCACTAATTGAGATTTTGGTATCTGAAAGTTGCACATTAATCATACATTAACTATGTATAAAAAAAGAATGAAATCTTGTAAGCAGTCAAACAACACATCTGTAGAATAAAGCCTGAAAGGAGAAGTTTCTTCCATTAACACAGTAGCACATTGCAATCAACAAACAGTGCAACTGGTGAGAAAACTCAAAGTCACAGTTGCTGCATATGGATTCTGCATCATCAGACTTCTGTTTATTCCCAAAATTGAAAGAGGCATTCAAAGATGAATATTTTTCATCCAATTTCACCACTTGCTTTATGCAACTGGATCAAAAGTAAACCAGAAACTTTCTTCTTGAACAGAATAAAAAGGTGAATAGAATATTTGAAAAAAAATGTGTAGTAATAAATGGTGATTTATGTTGAAAAATAATATTTAATTTGAAAAAAGAAATAAATTTACTTCATTTTGTGGTGCCAGTTTCATTCTTCTATCTGGTCTAAAACATGTTTTATAACATTGGAGATCTTACTTATCAATCTTGTATATAGCTTATAAGCAATTTGGTTTTATGGCATTTCTAACATTATTTACATATTAAAAGAAAATGTGGTGAAATAAACTAAAGCAAACATTGATAATATTTATAATTGAAAGAAAAATTAATTTAGAATTTCTGCATTTGCAAAGGCAGGTGTAAATTCACACAAGAATGCAAATGATATCAATTCATGAAGCGGCACAGCTTTAATCACATGTTCAGAAAAGAAAGGATGACAAGCATGTGTAATTGAACATGTTTTGCAATATGTCCACCAAACAGTAGAATAGATGGACATTGGTCAAAAACTGTGCTTCAAGAAAAATGAAAGCTGCAAAGGAAACGATACCCAGAAGTGTCAGGTGAGGCTGTAACTAGTGAAAGAAAGCTGCTATTATCAAGTGCTGTATTAAAACTACAATATGCACAAAAGAGCAGATGCCGGAGTCTGCACAAGAAACTAGATAACTCAAGTAGAAGACTTAAGAGTTTGTAGATAAAAAGAAGAATTTTGTATAGGAATAATGAAGACCAGAATTTCTCTTAATGATGAAAAATACATTGTCCACAGATAATTGTTGAGAATTTGGATGAGTGAACATAACCAGAGTTCATGACTTAAAATAGAATAAGATATAAAAGAAAATAGGAGAAAAGATTTTAATAGACTAAAGGGTGTTAGACATACAAGATTAATCAACCTTAGAACTGCTAACTTCAGTGTATATGTGTGTGTGTGTGTGTGCATGTGTGTATATATATATAAAAGAAGTTTAATATCTTGCTAACAAATTTATTTACAATTACTCAAAGAAAATACATTATACATTTCAGATCATCATCACCATCATTTTTAATTTGAATTACTCAGCTTTGAGCATAGCAAGTAAGTACTAAATAAAAGAGGGAAAAAAACTAATTCTGATAAAATTAGAAAGTCACTTTCAAAAAATAAGATTTTAAGGATTGTAAAGTTACCCAAAACTATATACACTGAAAAACAAAATCAAAACAAAAACATTTTTAGCAGAATTACAATGTGATTCCATCTGTAATACACACGAGTTGCAATTTATCTAACATGAGAATAAAAAAAATGTTTTAGATTATAAAATCTACAAGATACTATAATGCCATCATTTATAAGAATATAGAATAGAATTTTTATGCAAAAAGAAATTTATTTATATCAAAATCAAACATGTTGAAAGTGACATTGGCTGAATATCTCATGAAAGATCCTTTAGAAAAATGTA